CTGGACATCAAACTCAGATCATCATTTAGTTTGTTTGAGAAGAAGCACTGTTCTAGATATCGGACTGAAGTTGTGGGCATCCTTTAATTTGATACTGTAAAGTCATTAAAGAAAGTTTAGTTTCTATATGCTAGGTGTGTTGTGTGGCATATTTTTGACAAGGGGATATATCAGTGATGTTACAATGAGTTCCAGCAGCCTGATATTAGTGATAACTTTGAAACTATCCAGAGAATACCTTAGGATGATAAAAGAAATAAGCACAAATTTAAAATGTAACTGCAAAACTGTCACAATTTCAGCTTCAACAGAAACATGCTGAGTAAGATAATTGGTAAAAGTCAACTTTTTTTATTGGCAAAATAAAACAGATACCAATTAATATTAATTACTGATTAAATACATAATGGTGTCATGTGAATAGTGTTCACCAGCAAATGGTCCTAACTTCTATTTAACTCACGAAGAACTGTCAGACTGATACAGAAATCATGCTGATTTTATTGAATGGGCGCAGCATAGGGTCTAATTTGTACAAAACATTCATAATTCATAATTTTCATTTCTAAGAAGTTATTTCCATTAGCATACTTTAGGAACAAACAGCTATAATATTGAAAATATATTGAGTGAAATGTGAATAGATGAATTTAAGAATTTGAATGAATTGTCATGATGTCATGATTTTCTATAACTGATTTATAGTACACTGATGCACAATAAAGCCAATTGTCTGAAGAATTAAGGCTTAGAAAACATTCTGTAAAACAATAAATCATTATGAATACCATATATCCCTGTTATGAAAAGAAAGATCAGTTTCTACATGAACTTAACTATATTGAATAGACATTTGACTGTGACAGTCACAGAATACTTCAGGCAACTATGGTTTTATTTGCTTATTAGGTATAATTATAGTTATTATACGTATTTGTGTCATAACATTTATAGAACTGAACTGATGATGTACTTTCCTGTCTCTTTCTCACAAACTTGTATAGTAGACTTTTTTGTTCCATCCTTTTGTATGTTTCCTTTCTTGACCATGTATTGCTCTCTTTTATGCTGTATTGAACAGTTACTAACCTCATATCTGTCTCCTGTATGTCCCTGTCTTATTTTACCTCAAAACATGTCCTCCCAAATGAACATGTTTTGCTGTGAACCAAAAAAGAAATTTTTGACTCCAAGAATTTCAATCTTTCCCCTCTCCTTTTCAGTCACCCCCTAAAAAAAAGCTGCAACCAAATTTTCTCTCTGAAGGTTTAGCCCCTTCCACTGAAACAAAACATTCCTTATGATCTATCTCTGTCCGGTTTTTTGGCCCCTGTTTTCTCTCCCTAGCTTTGCGGTTAGTCGCGGTGTTCTGATAGCGTGCTTTAAGTCTCTCCACCAGAGGATCTGCAGACCCGGGAGGTGGTGGAGAAGCTGGCAGCCTTCGTGGCCGAGGGGGGGAAGCAGGTGGAGGAGGTGGCCATCAAGAAGAACAAGGACAACCCTGCCTTTTGGTGAGTAAACTACTTAATTGTGGCCCGATTTATCCCGCCAGGCTTGTTATATGCAACATAACATGTACATGTCTCCTATAAAGTCTCAAACTAGATATTCTGATTCTAAGCATGTAAGATTTGTTTGTGGTCAGTCAGTTGATGTAAAGGAAAACTAATGGATCTGAGATGTTGATCTACTGAAAGTAATTAAGACAATGCATATTGATGTAAAGTGAGAAAACAAGTTCTGCATTGTCCATGATCTTGGTACTCTGTCTGTTTATAGTATCAATTTTGTATTTCGTCTTTGAACTGCTATTTGTTTAGCTGTTGTAGCCAACGATACATTATGTACCTCAATATGGTGTTCTCCATGGTGCTGAAACCATTATCGTTCTTCATTGTTTTGCATTGAGTGGAAACCATGGCACTGAGCTTTTCTTTTTGTATTCTTGAGCTCCAGTTTTATAACAGTTTCACACAGTAGGATCTATTGCCCTTGGAATCGTCCAAGGTCTTCCCTTTTCCTAAGTGTACATTTAGAAATATGCAGGCCTTTTACAGACAAAGATTCAAAGGTTTCCAAGTCGTTCTGCTATTCACAATCACCAACTTACCAGCGATGGTGGTACCTTTCCTTTCCAAATTGTCCAACAAAGCATTTAAATAGCCATTACAGACTCGTAAAGGAGAAAATATCTCTTCAAGACCCAGAAGGTTCAAGAAATCCCCTCCATATCGAAGAGCAAGGATCGCCTTGAGCATCGGCCTGTCTCTGATGATAAGGACCAAGGAGTGAAAAAACTCCCAATAAGCACTAAGACATTCCAAGATAAATGATTTATCTCTCAAGCGGGCCTTGTTGATTACACTGCCTGGAACCACTTCAGTTCGAGTTTCTTGCAATTTCTATGCTAATTCTCCAGAGATAAGATTCAAGCTGACGGAAGATTCAAGATATTGTTTGTGACTTTTCTTTTTCAACTGAGACATTTGAGCTACAGCCAAAGTGCATCCCATTTTGTGTTGTCTGCAGCTTTGATATTTGAAGTTTGACTCAGAATCTCTGACATTTAGTGCAGGTCTTAAGGATGGAAAAACTTCTCATTTCTCCTGAACCTCGTTGCTGCAGCAGAGGGTAATTTATGGGTATCTGGTCCAATTCAATCTACTATCATTTCACTGCTCATACATAATACATGGCTGCCTTGAGGCGGCACACTGCCTGCATCATGATGGTGGATAAGTTCTTATATCTCTGTGATGAATGGTCGTCAGAGCACATTTGTCTTATTTGAAGTTTAATTTCTGCAGAAGGCACTGCACCGCATTGTCAATTTGGTAGGGTAAAAGGTACTCTGACTCTGTCACACTTGAGCATTCTTCATCCACTGAAAATAGGTCTATTTCCCGAGCGTGTTATCTTCAAAAGGCCAGTGTCTCTTCACCAGGCATTTATCACCAAGGAATCATACCAAATTTGAAAACTAAATTACTTAACTACAAACTACAGAGGTTGATATAATGTAGTCTGATACTGTATTCCCTTCTTTTTTTAGTAAATGAGACATTGTAGCTCAACATGTAGAGTTTTCAAAAAGATGTACATTGTACAGTAACAAACTGTGCCACCCATCGATAACTATCAGCCTGGTGCAAAAATCTAAGGCTGACATAATGTAGCGGTCTGTTGCTTTTTAAGTAAATCCAATGTACACCTACAAGTTGTTAAGTATAGATGACCATGTGCATGAATAATCAGTTGGTGTCATTAATATCCCAAGCACTTTCAGACACTTGTTTCTCTAATTACATGTAAGATACTTGACCTGCATGTTGAAGCAAAGCCATCCATTGATCAAACTGAATTTTTAATCTTCTGCCATTCCTGGAATACATTGATTTACTGCCTCGCTTCCCAAATTGGTTCCACTGGAGTCCTGAGGATTGGCATGACTAGTATCATGTCCCTGTAACCACCCATATCAACATGGCAACAAAAAATACATCCGTGACCACCAAAGAGACATGCATGACTGCAGGATCTGTTCTTTGGTCAACTCTTTGACAATCTGGACACGCAGTACTGTAAATCTTCAAATGTGTTTCTATTGTGACAGTCACAGATATCTGTTTGCATAATATATTTCTACAGTAAGTGCAATACAGATTTAATTGCAATCTTGATACACTGCATGAAAATTTCTTTTTCCCTCTTCTGTATACCATGAAAATAAGACCCTGTAAGAATGAATGAGTTTACAGTACCAGGACAGTGCGCCTCCCTCACCACCCATGAAGTGAGGATATGTTATTGGCAGGTGTGAGGAGTAATGCTGTTATTCCAGCCTGGTGGTAGACAGAGACTGATGGGGCGTTGCTGGCTGTCAGGGCATCAACGATTAAAAAAAAAATGAAGTTGACCTTTGTCTTTGTATCGCCAAGGTTTAATGAAGCCGATGACTGGTAATTTGATAGCGGGTTACCTGTGTTTCAAGGTGGATAATAGGCAATCATAATATCTAACCAGAGTTATTAATCAATACGGCAACTTGTGGAGATCATTTGTTGTCGCACGTAACTTTCTGTTCATATCATGATGAAGTGTGCTACACCAAAGGGTGGTTATACTGGCTATACAGATACATTTGTACAGCTACAGATAGATACAGAAAAGTTAAAGCATGAGTTATGATACGCATGAGCATCCCTTTTATTGTAACTCCCTAACAGAAGCTGGGCAGAGTCTAAAAAGCAGTGCATTTCCCAAAGATACGAAGTCCAAAGCTTTAGCTTTTGTTTCAAATATTGAAGATTTAACAAGCATTCCCAATGAAAAATCTCCCAGTCTCTAGGCTATATTTTACCTTGACAAAGATTTATGTTGTCTGGTTAGATAAGAGACAGAAATTTATGATGTCTATTGCACAAGGGTGATTGCACTAGTGTGATTTTAATTAAGAAGTTTTTTGATAAACCTTACAAATACCTACATGCACTTTATCCAGATTTCAAATCAGTATACATTATGTAGATATGACTGCCAGGGGCTAAGCATCTGTTCCATGAAGTCCCAGCGGTTGGAATGCTGAATCTCAATGATACCCCATGGGACAGAATTAGAAATGGGACCTGTCTGAATGTTTTCCACTTGATGTGGTGCCTTCAACCATTATATGAGAATCATTTCATTCAAGTATAAATTCGTTTTAGTACTTGCCTGTATTTTGTGGCAACATGTGTAAAATTTATCTATGTTTTGTTTGCCTTTAGGCATAACACTCCAGTTTTGTACAGTGAATACATTGCTTGCTGTACAAGACCTGACAGTAAGGTTTGATCCATCTACATGTACAGCATGCTCCAGGATTGATTTTGACTCTGATACATAAGTCTGATTGGTTCTGCAAGACTCTCTGCAAACAGCAGACCTCCGGCTTTACATCCCATTCAAAAGGACGTCCCTAACCAAAGCTACATCTAGTTACTCATTTTCACCTGTGAAGTGACTTTTGTAAGGGCACTAAATTGGGGCCTGCAGGGGTTTGAACCCAGAACCTTTAAAATTATCTGAGGCAAGAACCCCAACCACAAGACTGCCTTGCCACCATTTTGTATAAGATGTATGATTTCTAAAATTAGAAAATTTCCTGTCAAGGAATATTTCATTCAACTGAGGAGAGCTAGACAGATTTGAATTGTCCTCAAGTCACCTGCATGCCATACAATATGTACATGGCTAAAGTGGAAGTCTGCAAATAAGGCACAGGTAACAGGAAATGTAACCACACTATCACTGGTAATGGCGTGAGAAATTCACTCTTTATCAGCGATTACGACACAATAATGGTAACTCATTCCAAAAGGGAAACGAGCCCCCATTAGCTTGGTGCTTCCATTTGCTACATCTCGCCGTGTATGCCAGATTGTAGCATTAGTATCCATCAAAGTACAACATTAAACCATACCTCTCTTTTTACGACACATCCTTCACAGCAGCTACCTGGTAAAGTGGAAGTAGCAAGACCTGAGAACTGAGAGATGAAACTTGCACAACCTATTACTATTAGCTACATTGTAAGTCACAGCAAAACTGCTTAATACATGTACATGTTTATACTTGTGTTTTGAAAATGCTCTATAAAGGCATCCCTGGCTGCATCACATTTTTATGTACATGTACATACATGTAGCCTACAATAAGTGCACATTAGAGGCAGGAGCTTGTAGTCCTTCATAAATATTAGCTTGAAGATACATTGTTAGTTACATCCTCTGTTACAGTACATGCGTCATACAAGTACAGTAGGAAAGTGATAAAAGGGGACATTTCCCAAGTTGTATAGGACTGTTGACATCCCATTAGCTGGAGCTTACAGGCAGAGCCCAGGCATTCCCAGCAGAGTAACACAATTAAAGCTGAGACATTTGCAGCTCGGCAGCACACCATGGCCAGGTCCCTCAGCAGCAGTTCAAATGGCTGTGCTTTTACGACTGACCTTGTTGGACTTTTTCAAGCATGAAATTCAGTGTCATTTGATTTGATTTGCAAATTGGATGAAATTTTCTAGTAAAGGTTAAATAAGAAATAAAAACTTGATTGTAATGATATTCATGAATGATTAGTTCTTTACATTTACTAGTACCTGCTTGATGGCAAATACCTATACCTCATTACCTGTATTATGTAGGCTGTAAGCTGGGGGAATCAGGTCTTCCTATATATCTAATTTGGTGTGTTTTAACACTAAAAAGGAACCAAACAATGAGAGTTTTTACCATATTATGACTTTGTAATGAAAGATTTGACAAGAATATGATACTGCCCTTTCTTATCTGGTACATTGACTGTTTCAGTCTTCAGTCTGCATGGATGGATGGCGATAAATGCCATTGATGTAAAGCTTTACCATTTAGTTCTCCTGTGACTTTGTGAAGAATGAAGTGGTAGAAAGTTCAGCTCCAGAGAATTGGTGAATGTTGAGCTGAGCATTGAATCTTATCTTTAGTTGCTGGTA